TTGGCTGCACAATTTACTCATCAATGGGAAGTTAACCCATTGAGTGGCAGCACTCTCCCTTGATGAGTAAAATTGTCCAATGTTAGACAGAGTAAAATAATAAAGTAGGGTGCATCATGGCACATTACCACTTAAATGGTTAATCATGAATAATGGTATTCTACAATGGCATGGTTAACCCTTTAGGTGGTACCCTACTGTATTATTTTACTGTCTAATGCCAAACTATTTTACTCATCAAGGGGAGAGTGGTGCCACTCAGTGGGTTAAGTCTGCACTACTAGAAAAAAAATCCATGACAGCTTTTATCATACTATTTATGAAATAATTAAATCCTACAAAACAAACACAATCAGAGTATGAAAAACAAGAGGAGACAAGATTCAACAGCAACATTTGAAATTTATTACAAGTCTGATTGATCCATGATGAGTTTGTTAATAAATAATAATTTGAAATAATTACTGTTGGATCTTTCACCTCTATTCTTCTGAAATATTGAATTTCAACTAATTTATTCAGGAACTGTTTGTTGAGCATCTGGCAAAAGAGGCATATGAAAGAACTGCACAAGGGAAAAGAAAAACGATACAAAAGAAAGATCTTGGTATAGAGATACCTAAAAATATATTTTATTCACATCAAAATATTTATTATATTCATATGGAAGGTAACTTTCACTTACAGGCACCTGATCCTGTAAAAACTACTAGGGGTGAGAGGTTTTAACCTTCAGTTATTAACTGCTCACTTGAATATTAACTAATGTTTATCCTGCACTTTACAAGTCATCAAATATGCTAATCACTCTGCACTCCATTTGTCAACAGTCTGTGTGTTTGTACAGATTAATTACATTATTCACATGCATTATAAGGATAGTTAGGCTGGTGATACTCACAATTCATGCTATATGTGATATTTTTGATAAGATACCATATATTATTTAGTACTATATATGCCTGAATTATCACTAAAGCTAGCCTGAATTAGATCTGATAAGATAGTTAGACCTTGTAAATAACATTTACAAACTGAAATTTGACATCGATGTTATGGTTTGCAGATAGTTGTGTGGATGAAAATGATGAACTAGCTTTCTTACAAGGTATTTTATTGATAACTTTACCAGCACCAAGAGTATAGTGTAGGATTACCATCAACTTTGATCATATCACATATGAATGGACTGTGTGATTGGCCTATTATAACAATACAGTTAACTTATTGTTAACTATGATAACTAGTAACAAGACAATGAACTGTAGAAATCATCTTTCTAAAGAATGAGTCATGAACCCTGATCACTATTGTTTTATGAGGCCAATCACAAAACACGATCGTTTTAGGTTGGTATTTACCCACAGTGAAACTCCATTTTATCATTTTTATGGCCACCTCAAATTGATATGTACAGTTGTCTCTATTACTGTCACTTATTTTTGTACTCACAAAATGGCTCATCAGTGGGTGACTGAATTGTATTTTATTAACAAGTGCCAAAGACTGCTGTGCCTGAAAATTTAATATCTTACCATCTATTCTATTCAGGAGTGTTGGAGTGAAGTTCACAGATTAAAGATAGCTCTATTAACCCTCCAAAGTACCTATTTATAGTACTATTGTTTGTATTTGACGTTGTTGAAACTTGTTTCGTTGCGCACTGACGTCTCCAGTGTACAGCTAATCAACTTAGCTTGAAAAATATCTCACCAGACATTAGGCTGGGGAAAAGCGTATGATCATTAAGATATTATTAGTACATCATGATTTATATTACCAAAACAATCTATGTAAGTGCATGACGAAAAGAACCAAGCAACTCACTTACAAAAATAAAAAATCCAACTTCCTTTCAGTTCGATTAAATCGTGTATGATTTAATGTTAGTGTACATTGTAACCGGAGCTCGATATTCTAGGACAGGCGAAAAAAAAATTGAAGTAAAAAATAAATGGCAGGCGAAATTCTACAAAAATAAAACGGCGGGATCAATTGAAGTATACGACCCCCGTAAATTAGTTCTCCAAAGAACTGCCTCGTTCTTTGGATAAACACTATTTTATGTACTAACGACACTTAATTCATGAACTAGATCATTCATGAGCAAAAATAAGTATGAGTTCTTAAAGAACGAGGCAGTTCTTTGGAAAAGTAACTTAGGGTGGCATACTTTAATTTATCCAAACGGTGTACAATGTCAATGGTTGAGGGAACAATACCGAATTGTAGTTGCCATTGAGCTCTCTAATTCATTAAAGACGCCCCCCCCCCCCCCGCTATGGACGACAAGGATTTTAGCATATCCCTGAAGAATTCCTGCCATAAAAGGGATCCACTGAAGAATTCCTGTTAATAGCATTTACCCATAAAAATCCCAATTTTTACATTTGACCCCTGAAGAATTCCACAGGCACAGGAGAATTTGAGGAAGAAAGTATATGCAAGAAAGTTTTAAAACATTTAATCTTTGTGTTCATACCTGAGTGAGACCATTTTGGCAGTTCAAGAATAGAAATGGCAGACCATAATTTATTTGACCTGGCAAAAAATAGTTTGGTAGGCCATATGTTTTTTCCTGTTTCGAGCCCTGATTATAACAAATGTTTCAGCCTTAACTGCGAAGCTAGCAGCAACGTTGAAATTGCGGGATCAATGATGGGTAATATTTTAGTATCACAAGATCTTCTAATTTGGAACATGCGTCCTGAACAATTTATTGCTAACTAAACATCTGAAATGGAAATTGAATTTCATGTATAAAGAATCACAATTAACTAAAATTTAAATAATTTTATTCATCTTTGTAATTAGGTAATACATGGATCCTGTGAAAACTGTATATTATTGGAAAACATTTTATTTACAATAAATTAATTTTTCTTTTCCATTTGTTAATATATAAAAGGTTTTTCGCTTTATATTAATATATTTAGCAATTATACTTGAATGATTTCTTTGTTCTAATTAAACATGTTTCACTACAATCTATTAACTCAATTTAACTGTTTATTATATTAAATACTAATTACCAGTAAGAGCTGTAACAGTTGTCATTATTAGCCAGCAGTATTTATAAAGTAGAGCCTGCCCGAAAGCCCAGATAAAATTGATCACCGTGCACTTGGTGCATATAGAACTATGCAAGAGTTCTCCTGAATAAATTATATTCTCGTAAATTCGGTTAAAGTGTACAAAAGTGATCTAAAATGTGGAACAATGTTCGTAAACGATTTTATTCAGCCATAAATTAAATGCTTTTAAAGGCACCTCTCCCTTCCCTCCACCAGTGTACACTACTGTGTAAGTACAGTACTTGCAGATAAGATGAAGGCTATGGGCTTTTAGTATGTATAGGTTTATTTTTAAATCTTGAATAAATTAGTTTATACCTAAATTCAGCGAATGACAATTCTCGGCCATTGGCGGACGAGAATGATCAAAATTCCTCTGGCTTCCAGGCCGGCTCTTCTTGTCCCTGGCTATGCGTTACATATATAGCATAACTTTAGTCTAATATGTAGCGAAACTTGATAAATAATGCTTGTAAAACGGAGCATGAAAAGATGTTGTAAAAGACAGCATACTTCATTTGATATTGTTAGTTTGTTACCTATATTTTACATTATCAGAACCATTCATTTTTCTTTTTCGTGAAAGAACTTTCACATGTCGTTTGGCAAACATGGATAGGCCGGAAAACGAACAAACATGATTCAATAACTATACGGTTCCAACGCTGCAGGTGCATATAGCGACTGTCGTCTGCAGGTTATAGTGTCACCATAAAACCTCGGCGTCTTTGTACGAAACCCCATGCGCATGTAAGCACGATCCACTACCACGACACACCACTGAACGAAAATGGGTCCATGCATTATCACGTGCGTTTAGGATATCCTTTCTTGGGTGGTAATGATCCAACACACACAGCAACGCAGTCACGTGGTTGACTGATTGAGGCTGAATTGTACCACTTATTGGATAAAGGATCATACCTACAATAGTAAAATATTATTTAACATTACAAAACTACAGTACTTCTGAATGCAAACATAACCCGTACTTTACTAGAAGCGGATGATCCTTTACGAAGAACTTGGACAAGGAAAAGACTGTTCGTCTGATAAAAATTCGTCAGTTCGTCTGCACAGATAATTGTGTAATAATAACGTGTATCAATACAGCATTAGACGAACTAGCAGGGAAATTTGCTAGTATAGATGGCGCTCTTGTTAGTGAAATATTGGGTGGCCGGGAGAAGGTTAGGTTGCCACCATATAACTACCTTTTGTTGCTAGAAATCGTAGTTCTTTACACTTTTTTGTGTAGCTTCATCTATAGCCTCAGGGTGTTAGCCAGAAGAAAAACGTTTTGTCCGTTAAACGTAAATTGGGAAAGTTTTTTTGACCGATCAAAGTCCTTGTGTAGGAATAAATAGTGTTTTTTTCCAACGTGTTTCTCCTTAGATGCAAACAACGGCAGCTTGGTTTTGTACAATTCATTTCCGGTGAATGAACACTGAAAAATGCACCCGATGGCACTTCGTGTTGTATATTTAATTTCCGGTGAATGAACATGGATGCACACCGATTACACTTTGTTTTGTACATTTCATGTCAGTGAATACACACCCAATATGAATGAAACGCGATACATTTTGAGAAAATAGTTAATGGGAAAAAGTAAATAAAACGTTCTTTGATATAATAATATAAAATCAAATGCAAATGCACTTTCTCATCAGAAAATCTTCCAGTAGACCCAGTTGGGAAAGCCCCTTGGGAAGAGTCCGTCAAACGGACAGTATATGGGCTAGCTAACATCCTGAGCCTACCATGCTTTGTTACACAGTTATTCAGCTATCAATCACGTGTTTTCGGCAATTTTTTTTTTGGGGGGGGGGGGAGGGGGCGGGTCGCCCCCTAGTGTCCGCCACTTCGCTGCTAAGATTATTTCCATATAATCAAACCGCTGATCAATGAGTCAAACTCAAAAACGTTTTAGTAATGTAGTCATAGTCAAAAACGTTTCACTCACCTTTCCACAGAACTCAGATACGACGTTCCGTCATAGCCTCCAACAGCATAAATAAATCCGTCCAGTACAGCCACACCACAGCCACTGCGAGGAACACTCATACTACATACTTCAATCCATTCATCTTTACTAGGATCATAACGTTCTACTGAACTGAACCTCGTCGAGTGATCACATCCACCAATAGCGTAAATATAGCCACCGAGGGCTGTCACTCCCACCTGTTTCCTACAACACAAGAAATATACAATGCATTCATATATCAAGATCTGTGACAATCGCGTGCATGGCTTAGTGATAATTTTGTATCTATCCACAATTTCCATTTCTGACAATAATATAGAGTATTTTAAATGGCCTTAGAAGAGATTTGTATCCACATTTAATAGAAAACACTGTAACTATATACTTTCATATAAATATGCATGACGACTGTACAATCAAGTTGGCCAGCCAGTATTATCTTTAAGGCAATCAAGTACATCCGTACAGTCAAAACGACGTTATACATGTACAGGAAGCAGTACATTATATACAGCTTAGAACGAAGAATAAATTGGAATATTCTTTATCACGTTAAATTTCACCATTAAATTAACTGTTTTAATATGGACGAAACGTTACCCTAAGGCTGTCGTTTCTTAACTTCTGAGAAAACGAATGAACGAAAAACACGAAGGAAGGTAGGTAGGTAGAAAGTAAGAAACAAACAAACAAACAAATAAACAAGATAAAGTAATAGCATACCTAGCAGTTACCATTGGTGCTAACAATTTCCACGTATTTGTATCAGGATCGTATTTCTCAACCGTCCTAAGGTTCGTGCCATCAGAACCTCCTACAGCATAAACATTACTATCCATGATACAACATCCGACACCGAATCGTGATTGATTCATTGGAGATATCTTTATCCACTTTGCATATCGACCTCGTGTATCGTAATATTCAGCCGTATTCAGTGGCATTGAACCATCAAATCCACCTGAAATATGAAGCGTTCTCAACTTGATGAAGTCTTAAGGCCGATTTACACAACACAACTTTTTCGTAAAACTGTCGCATACAACCTGCTTACAACTTCAGTTGTACTGTACTGTACTGTACTGTACTGTACTGTACTGTACTGTACTGTGTAAATCAAGCACGTAACTCACCCACGACAACGTAGACGAGTTGTGCATGTGCTTAATTTACACAGTAGTACAACTGTAAGCAGGTTGCATGCGACAGTTTTAGGCAAAAGTTGTGTAGTGTAAATCGGCCTTTGAAACGCTACTGTACTGTATCTTCAGACTTCAGGAACGCCGGAGCGAGGGTAGGGCACAGGGGGGCAATGTTGATGTAAGGGCAATCACTAATTAATATTAATAATATTTCGTTTCCGAAACATTTTTCCGGACCAAAACAAGGGCAAAATTTTTTTGAAAAGTTAACCTAATTTTTGACAATATTCCAAAAAAATTTCCCGTATATTTCAATATTACGTCCATTTCACCCATAATTCATACTTTTTAATCGTTGTACCTCATATTTTTTGGGTTAGCATTTTTATCTACGGGCACTTTCGCCCCCCTTACTAAAGGGCAAGGGGGCGATGCCCCCTGCCCCCCCCCTTTCCGGCGTCCCTGTGTACCTTGATAGGTATGTGAAAGTTTGCAGCATTATGCAGGATAATACTGTACGTGACCCGAACACGAGGTTTTACCTCATGGGCAAGTTCATAAAGCGAAAATAAACAAGGCTAAGAGCTTTACGGAACAATCGTTGTCTTGATACCGCCGTAAGTCTGCAAGTTAAAGTCAACTCCAACGTAGAATATTATCTGTGCATAAATACTGTAATTTTTTCGAGAAACTATATCATACACTTGAAGTGGTATATATTATATATTAGGGATTGTACTTCGAAGTATGCTAAAAAAAGATGGCTAGCACCTTGTTTTTCAATACACTCTTCTGTATTTTTCATAATTTTTTCTCGAGTATGATAAAATACTTGAAACAGAGAGAAGTACTTTGAATAATTTGAAGATAAACTCAGTAATGAGGAGATTCTGATCAGTACTGATCGTTACAGATCCCCTTAGGTGAATAATGTAATAACAGATTACCTATAGCATAAACTCTTCCATCCCCACCACAAACTCCAACACCATTCCTACTGGATGACATAGGTTCTGAATGCACCCATACATCATTATATGGATCATATCGTTCTACTGTATCTAAGCGAGATGTATCATCACTGCCACCACAGATGTAGAGATATGGACCAACTGAACCCATGCTTGCTCCCCAACGACAGATACTCATTGAACCTAAAGTTACGAAAATGGGAAATTAATGTTTGTTTGACGGTTTTGTCGTTGTTACTTGGTGCAAAGTCTAATCGTAGCTTCACAGTGTTGTCAAATGTTTCAGCTTCACAGTGTTGTAATGGCCCAAAAATTCAAACCAGTCAGTCATAGATAACGATAAATATAATAATAGATATAAAGTTGCCAGCGGTCCTCGTGATTAATGTGCAGTTATCAGATTATATATACTGTACATTTCCAATCGTATTGGGTAATAATAGCGTAATAGGCTATGTTGTACATATTGTCAGTTTTATGGAAACTTCAATTGGGATCAATTATCCACTTCATTCTAATATGTAAATGGTCCTTCTGCTACTGCAGCGGGGATATTTCAAACAACGGGGCTCTATTTTACGATGGATTAGTTGGCTTAGTTATGGTAAAATAACCATGCAAATTTAGAACACGTTAATTAAAGGGGTGTAGCATAATTTCGCTGTGAATGCCAGCGTCAAAGAAAATTGGGACAAGATTTTTGAATTTATGTACGTATGGATAGAACTATTCGGTTGAAATTACAAAAAATATTCATATCTACCAAAAAAACTAAAATTTAAAACCGCGATTTACTTACAGATAGGAGTCCATTTTCCTTCTTTTGGATCATATTTCTCGCCACTTTTACTCGCTTCTCTTCGACTCATTCCTCCCACAGAATATAACACTTGATGATCTGACGTTGGTCTGCGTTGTCGCGTGTTTTGATCCTTGTTCAGAAAACCAGTTCTTAGACCATTCAATAAATAACCACTGTAAAAAATAATTATATGGCCCTTTTAGGTTGTTTAATTTTTTTTAATTTCACAGTTGATAATAAAAGTCCCAAATATTTGCAGTCTATGTGTAGCATTTGATAACATAACGCTAAATGAACGCCCATGCATTGGCCAAATTTATACTTGACGGATCATTTGTGACACAAGACGGGCTATTCGAATGAACTAGCTACTTTAGCTAGAATATAGCAGGATTTATACTGGCGTGCAAACAGGGGTTGAAACAGTTTTAAAACTTTTAGTTTCTTAGTTGCCCAAGTGAATAAGATATATCATGCAGTGCATGAATAAGATCTGGTCGCCAAATTTGATAATTCGTCCACTGTACATCAATGTGTTATGCAGTATTCTCTTTGTATATACTGTAGATTGTTTATAAAACAGTTCTTTAATATGTTGGCAAATTAAATATTCAAAGCTACTGTGGGGTGGAATGCGTGATCACTGAAATATTTCAAGGCCTTAGAATGACTTATTTTATGGGTTTTTTTTGTAACTCGTCACGAGGGCCATGAAAAATTTGGTCGCAATTGGCGACCTTGCACTCGCTTGTTTCAACCCCTGTGTACAAATGGTTGTGAGAACAAAATAACAAATCCTTCATGAAAGATTCCTGGTACTTCGAATATAATGCCACACTTATTAACACGCAGATACTCAAAATAGCGATTCGTCTTCTTCAGTCCAGACGGATCATCTGGCTCTGTTACTGTAATCAGGCCAATGTAATAATTCAACTTACACGCATACTTTGTCACAACGAATCACGTCTTCAATACCAACACGTTCCAAGAGAAACTCAATTGACAAGAGAGAAAATCTGACTTCTTTCAGAACCTCGCTTGCAAATTCCTAAACATACAGTATTAATATTATATTGAACCACAACTCATTGAACTACAGTATATAGACACAGCCCATCACAATGAGCAATTCTATCAACAAAGACTACTGTAGAATATAACTATAGCCCCATTTACTCTTTAGCAATTTACAGACACACCATCCTTCAGACTTCTCGATCGGTGAAGCACACTTCGTGAAATATTTGTGGGAATTGAAAAATTGATACAGCTTTGTTACCCAGCTTTGTTACTATCTGCATTCAAACTCAAAGGCTTTCAGAAATTAAGGGAGAGGGGGGCAAAAATACAAACTTCATAGGCAAGGGTCCTTTTTAAGAACCCATGTCATCTTGATATACTGTAGTAGATCACTAATTTGCCCAGGTTCTCTCTAAGCTGAGTCTCTAATAGAAATCAAGACACTAACACACTATTACAGTATATCGTGATTGAAGTGCTCAATAATGAAACTTACACATCTGTTGGTAGGATCATGTTTTATCCAAGCCAGAACAGCTTCAAATACTCGTTCTTCACACAGAACATTTAACTCATCATCTGCTATTAGTCTAGATAACTGACGTGGTGTCAATGACATGAATTCCTCATTTTGTAAAACATCTACAAAATGTTTTCTTGCAAATGTTTCAGCATCACGAAGGAGTTGAGTACATGCATGTTGATCAGCAAAACTTGCAATACCTGAAAATTAATGACACTATATTGCATTCCAGACTCAACCTCCTACATCACACCTACTATATACAATTACAAAATAAGCTACAGTAGTATTTATAAGCAATCTGGGAACAATGGAACAACGGAAACAACGGAAAAATATTGATAATACCGATATATCAATATTTTTTCGCGCTTGTATTTTCCTGAATTTTATCATTTTATACAAAATTTGGTTAATTTTATGCAAAAGTTTCTGTTTTCAAATGATGCCAAACAGCTACAATATAACAGTTTTGACTCATCAGGTGCGTGATATTTTCAATAAAGTGTGAGGCCAGTGACCAGTAGCCTGTGAAATGTCCGCTTTAGAAATTGAAAATGCATATTATTTGCATTGATTACCTACCGCATATTTGCATTGATTGACCGGGAAATTTGTTTCAAAACATTTTATTCAACTGCGAATTCGAAACAAAGGTTGTCCTATCTCACCAGATAAACAATGTCCAATTTGTAATCCACCGTTGTTTAAGTTCTAAACGTTCATTTTTTGGCAATCGCGAAATGACATATTACATCTTGCAACGCCAACATATAAACAAACACATTTAACATGTTTGGATCTCCCTCTAATCTTAATTTACGGATTTTCCCGCGGAGTTAGCACATTGATCGTCTTTGTCCTTCTGAAATAACTGCAATCAGTGCTTGAAAAAGCTTGATATGACGTTTAAATATAAAAACGTAAACATGATATCGATGATACCGAAAATATCAATAATACCGAAAAATATCGATATTCCAATATATCGAAAATTTCGATATAAAGTAATCGGTATTTATAAAAATAGGTACGCAAGGCGTACATGTATCTGCGAAAAAACTTGATTCACATTTTGTATTTTCTTGAAAGGAACTGAATAATGAAGGTGATATGGGACAATTGAAATATTTCATCACTTATTATAATAGCAGATAAGATTTAAAACAGAGCTGTACACAGCGGGGAGGGCAGCAGGGCAAGTGCTACCCCACCCCCGCACCAAGAAAATTTAACCAACTTTATAATGTGATTATGATTGTAACAGATAATTATGCAGTCAGGAAATAAAAATTTCATGCAAACAATATTCAAAGTGTCTATACAGCTGGCTATTTAGTAAACTGTCACCTATCAATTCAATCCATACTCATCAAATTTTCAAAACTTTATTGTAATCATATGAAGCAAAAGTTATGTCACTTGTTGTTTGCACTTGCCAATGTTAACTATTGAGTAACATATACAAAATATTTGGTGAACATGTCGAAGACCACTGAATAATTGCGAATGTTTTGAAGGTCATGAGTGAAGTATATAATTAAATTCCAGTTCTTTGCACAGTTAATGATATACCACACTGTTCGGTTTAACACGTACAGCACATTCACACAAAAACAATTGTGTTGTGGGAGATTATCGGTTTGAGTAGAAGGTATCACAAGTTTAGTTTTGTACATTGTGTGCCATTGATCAAATCCACCATATAATATATGATTATTCATTGTAGCTGTTAAGTTATTTTCCATACTAATAAATTTAGGTAAGATTGTCTTGCAAGTTGGTTGTTCTGACAAAATTATCCAGCCAATATGCAGTACATTTATTCTTCATTCTTGTATTATTACTGTCGTTCCAATTGAAGTGTTGCTCAAATATTGATTCAATACATTACCTCGGGCTGACCAATTCATTTGATCAAGTTCCTCGAGATATTCATACACTTCCTGTGAAAGAGCCAATTCCAAGTATTTGATCATTTCTGGTCACTTCCTTTTTATTTATGATTGGTTAGTTGCACAAACAACAAAGGTGATTGGTGCATTCAAACTATTCAACAGGAAGTTTACAGTTATACTAGGAAGTGTATGAATATCTCGAGGAACTTGATGAAATGAATTGGTCAGCCCGAGGTAATGTATTGAATCAATATTTGAGCAACACTTCAATTGGAACGACAGTAAATCTCTAAAGAAAAATATTTATGTTAGAAAGCAAAATGACAATGTAATGAGGCTTGGGAGGGTGAGGATTCTTTTATTTGAAAGTGTTTGTAAAAAGTTTGTTTAATTAACTCTAATGTGTAAAACCAAAATGTATAAGTATTTTAACTGATAACATCTTCAACCTTTGCTCTAACACTACATTTGATGACAGCTTTATAGTTGGACTGTTGTTTTGAACAGAGTTATGGAGTCAATATACAGAAATACAAGACCAGGATTTAATTCAATATCTCCTGAGAACTGTCCAATAGGTTCCTTTGATATTGTTAATTGGCAATATTGCCTGCTATGTTTTCACTGTTTAAAATATTACAGAAGTCACAGAAGGATTGTTTTTAATACTGTATAAATCTTTTTGTGAACTATGTTGACAAATGGCTTAAAATATCCTCGAAAATATCCAATATTTTATACAGTGTAATATATTAATAAAAAATTCCAGAGTGCATTCCATGTAAACTCTACGCCGAAGATACGGCAACATTAACTATAGACAGTATAGTAAATATTTGCCGAACTGGCGAACTCATGTATTATAAAATATGTGGAACATATATTTGCACAAATTTGGTATTTAAATATATAATATGTGGTATTTGGCTACTTACCAGATGAGGATAAGATTCCATGTTGATAAATAACTTCGGAATAATATCACAAGTACTGTAGAATGCCGATTCAAGATAAATTGATAAAAATATCAAGATATTTTTGAAAGAATATAAACACGATTTATACACGAGGCCTGACGAGGCTAAAGTATGCCTGTTCGCAGGTTAGATGCAGTCACAATGTAAAAAATTGATGTAAACGAATCGCTGATTGGCTTAAATTGTCTTAAATTATATAAGTCCGTCGCTATCTCAGGGTTCGAATTAATTCTGAAAAAATGGTTCGTGAATTAATTTTTTTATTTTAAGGAAATTTTAAGGAATTTTCAAGGAATTTTCTCTAATTGAAAGTTAGAAAGTGGAAGCACTGCAATTTTCAAATATGTAAATATACAGTACATCGCAAACTTGCAAAGAAATATAATTTTGGGTGGAATTATAATTGTTTTTAAGTACAATCTAACAAGAATATCTTCAGAATGTATGATCCTTCATCACATTTACAAAGAACTGGATTTATTATTGTATTTTTTATCAGTTTGAGAGACTTTTGATTCGTGATTTTGATCAATTTCTATGAAATTGGGTTCGTGAAAAATGAAAATTGATTCGTGATTCACGAACTGTTATTTCGAACCCTGCATCTGTTAACACATGGTACTGTACGGTACGTTTGCGATTGCATATATATCTGCTTCGCAGATACAAAAAACGATAACTATCGATATACCACAACAGCCTACTTCCATGTTTGGGCGTCACAACCAATTTCTCAGATGGTGCTTCGATTAAGCGCCACATGGTTGTGAATAAGTGTGGCACTTATTCGAGGGCGGCGCTCTTTAATAATTTTGCTCTCATACGCATTGCTCAATCAGGGGCAGCGCTTAAACAAGTAAATATGGTATGCATGTCAAGAAAATTATCCAAATGTACTATAAACAAAACATTACTCTCAAATGTGGGTAGATCAGTTGATCTTATTTGTATCACAAAAAAGGGACATGATTCATCAATAAAAATATTGATAAATATCCTGGAAGTCTTCCTTGTCAAATATGGTATTTGCACAGTTGAAACAAAATACCATTATGAGAATATATTATGGATCTCACAGAACTGTGGTATCATATCAAAAATTTGTATTACAATTCTAATTTTAAACTGCCCATCAACGTTTTATAGTATTGTTACCAGGAACGGGATTGGGAACCCTAACATTTACCTTAACCCGCAACAAACGCCCATGAGTTAGTCATATCCTTAGTGTTAAATACTACTTACCCAAACAATTTTCATCAGTGAGTTGCCTTCTCATGAACTCACAGCAGGCATCAAGTACATTTTGTACCTGTAACAAACTTGCAGTAGATAAAAGTTCCTGAACGTTTTTCTGGTTGATGTCCACTTTGGCCGTATAAAAGAATTGGATAATCTGTTGTAGACTTTTTCCATCCATCTGATGTATAGAGATGCAAGTTTTATTGCATTCTGAAAGACCACCTAAACCAATGGGAGTTAATTATATGCATTATTAATTAATACAGTGATACTGTGTATATACTATATATAGTGCCTGCACTGCTATATACACTGTATAAAAAATTAGATTTATACAGTATGGTACATCTAAAGTATTACAGAATAACTTGACTGCATGTTTAATAAAATAATTCATTTCAAATTGCCACTATCATGGTTGTTTTAAAATATTACAACACAACCTAATACTGTAAACTGTTCACTACGACCATGTGCTAATTAGGTTTAGATTTTAATTTAAGATCTCCTTTTGGCAGGTATGTGTGTCACTCAACAAATTTTTAAAACTATATATACAGTAATGTCACTGTAGAAGTTTGGCGGGTTTCCATGTCACTTCAAAATTTTGCTATTGTTTTTTTCCTTCTTAATTGTTGCTGTTATTGACGACTTTGATGTTGTATATCGCTATTTTATTCTCTATATGTTGCCATTTCAAACCAATGTCAGAATTTGTTCAGAGTCTTAAATTTTCCCGAGTCTTTTTCTAAACACCTAAGCTTTGAGGAAACCACACTGCCCTGCAAAATGTTTTATTTGTGTGATGACACAGTGATGTCAGAACAATAATGAACATCAAAATATATACTGTACTAAAGGATAAAGACAGAATGTGAAAATGGTTGTTGCTAAGGCATCAAAGGGAGCAAGCAAGCAAGACTTTTTTGAGTTGAAAAAATTTAGTCTTTTTAAGTATAAGGCTTTATAAGTACTAGAATACCACAATTTCTACCTGTAAACATAGCCTTGAAATATGGGCTAGCTGCTGCAAGAATGATTTTATGGGCTCGAATTTTCTGCCCCTCTACAAGCAAGGTCACATCACACAATTCATCATTCTCCCTGAAGCAATTTATTGACTGTCCAAGTGCTCTGAAATGAGCAACATCAGTATAGTCCACATAATTGTATGTAGGCTGCCTTGATGTTGACTTGTCCAGCTTCGGTGAATAAGATCTTGCCATATCTGCTAAAAAAGCAATACAATGACATATTTGAAATACAGTACAGTACTATTGCTGCTAGTACATCAAAGAACACAATTATGCAACTTGTAATATTAGAGAGACAAAGATAATCTGGAAAATACATAGACTAATAGATCTTGGTTTAAGCCTTGTCCTCACTACAACGCAAGCATTAGCAAGCAGAACACAATGATAAACAAGCAGAATGCTTTGATGTTCTTATACATGTGTTGTTCTCACTGTGTCCTCACTATTATCATTATTAGGGGGTGACTATTACCTAGTTGCATTGTGCCCCAATTGCCCTAAGTATTTATCATTTTACTCTGTCTAATGCCAGGCAATTTTACTTGTCAAGGGAGAGCTCTGGCGCTAAATGGGTTAATCAGACTATCTGCTCATGTTTCCAGTTAATCCATTAAGTTGCATGGCATGCCAATGTGTCCCACTTTATCATTTTACGCTGTCTTTAGTGTCTATAGCAACATACAATTTTACTCGTCAAGAGAGTACTGGCACTCAATGGGTTAATAAACTTTTTATCACACTTTTGTTTATCACACTTTTGCCCCAATAGTCTTGTTTCAATGTTTGACTGCTTTCAGTTCTCTTTTACCTTGAGCACAATCACAAACCTATCTATTAAATTAACCCACATGCCAGTAAGAGTGCACTATAAACCGTGCAGTCTATTTGACCTCACACTGTAGCTATATGCTCAAACACAATTTTGCATGAGATTATTAACATGAGATGCTTCCCATGCAAAATACTTCAAAATCAAAACATCCATAAACATTTTGTCAACATTTTAAAACAAACACAAATTGATAAATCTCCAAAATTTGGTGAAATTGTATTTATTCCTGTCTTTTTAAAACAAAAACGGACAAGGAATAACGTCTTGTAATATTAAAGTGATGCCTCTAGTACGAAAGAACGCAACGAGAGTAAAATAATTTCCCAGTATAAACAGATTCTCCGGTACAAAATTCTATTTTAGAATCTTCTAAATTTGTCCCTTTATAATATCTTTAATCTTTTCTGAGTATTAAGCCCTTTTGTACAGAAAGCTTAGAAAAACTAGTCTTTAATAGATTTCAAACGCCATAATGTAGCGTGACAAAAACAAAGCAATAATTTTGAGTAATAACTTATTAGACATGTATTTTCAAGCTGCCATATTTGCTTGTAATATTTTGATCAAAAGATCAGGTCAACAAGCAACGATTCTGGCGCCGTGTGTAGCAACAAGTATCAACCACATACAAATAAGAAACGTAATTCTATTACCTTCAATTTAAACAGCCACGAAGGCCAAATATTATCCACGAAATGCCAAGATTGAAAAAATATAGAAAGCAATATCAGTCACAACGTATTTGAAATGAGGGGAAAGACCACAAGCAGGCAACATTCCAAATTTGGTATGCACCGGAAACGCTATTTTCCGGTTACTATGGGCCGGTTTAAGCTTGCCTGTGTGCCTGTGCGATGTTTTTGTAGTCAAACAATGCAAATTCTGGCCAAATAACTATTGAAAACAGAAATATTTTATTGCCACTCCGTTCTACATTATTTTAAAGAACCCTATATAAATAAATATTCTATTACTCCAACATGGTATATTAATTTATTTGCAAAAATGAAGATCAAAATTGTTTTGCATATTCAACAGTAGGAACTTTATGGCTCAAGTGCCTTTCGGAAATAAGTGGAATTTTATAGCTTTAATTTAAGCTGTCGTGTTTAACTGACCATGGTTGAAACAAAGAAACAAATATGGTCATTACCAGGGAATATTGCAACCGAAGCAAAATATATAAGAGCACTTCAAGTTGAATAATTACACTCATAAACACTAACGGTATAAAATCCTCTATCACACCCCTGTAAAATAAGTACCCCCTATCTAATGAGCTCACTCACTGCCTCTGGCCTGAGAAGAAATTCATTAGGCCCACAGTTCTCTATTAGCCCACCCGCCTACAGAAATTATTGAGAAGGCCCCCCCCCCCTCCCACAACAAAGATGCTCATGCAAACAATATATTATGAGAGATAAGTATACAGAATTGTTCTGTTAGTTTGTTTTTAATTTAAACTCACGCTACAAGCATTATGAAGGCCGATTTATACTATACAACTTTTGCCTAACTAAAACTGTCGCATGCAACCTAGTTATATAACTTATTATTAGCATGACAAAATTACTGGATGCTGATTGGTTGAGAGGAGTACAATTATTTCATTAACTAAATCACAACAAACCGCGGAAAGACATGTACTGTTTTACTGTAAGACATGTAGAACATGTACGAAATCCATACAGAAGTGTGTGTGTATACTTTTGAAACAACTAAATCAGACTTCGGAAAATTTGACCGTATTAAAGCTGCTTTTGGGAATTTAGATTTTAGGTCTTCGTTTTACATGTACCCAGACCAGTAAATATTTTTGAGTTTTGAATTTTGTGTATAAATCAACACCAA